CCTTATATTAAATATTTTAATACTAAATATTAGTAGTTTCAACTAACACGATTTTCACAGCTGGAAAATTCTTACCCCACAGTCAGTTTTGGGATATTGGCATTTTTAACACCGATCTTAGTTTCGCATTGAGTTTTGGCATAATCTTTGCTAAGTGCATATTTGACATAATATCGTTTTTAAAAAGCATTGAAAAAACTGTCCAAATGTTTAATTTTTATAGGTAAAGAATTTTTTGATGATTAAAAAAAGAGGTAATAATCGAATGCCATTGTTATGTAATTGCTTTAATATTGTTTGTAAAATAATTTTGTTTCATTGTTTCGAAGATGCCATCTCATTGTTTGTATTTTTTTTTGTGAGCGACAATATCTGTTTCATTCAATTATTGTCATGGATTCGAGTTTTATTAATTTATTAATTCTTGTCTTGAATGATAAGACTCAAATCGTTATAACAGTAGCTACTATGATGGTACTCCAAAAACATAGTTAGTCTAGATACTGCCAAATTTTTGAAATTTCACATAAAATGACATTATATTTTGTCAAATCTAGCACAATTCAATCGATCAAATGTTTCGACACTGCCCATAATAAATAATAATGATAATGCTTTTTATGAAGCACAGATAAATAAAGAGAAATAATATACAAAAATTAAATCAATTATATTTGAAATTTAAAGAGAGAGAAAGGGAGGAAGAGAAAATCTGCTTTGAAACAGAAACTGAATTGTTAATTAATGTATAATTAATATACATGGAAGTATGTACAAGTATATTTTTAAATTATATTCTATCAATTCATTCTAAACTACTAATTAAATTAAATAGAAAAAGTTACACCTATTGCAGCAATAAAAATTAAAGGTGCAGTGATAATTACAATAATAAGTAAGTGAGAATTTTAAGTTTTATTGTAAATTACGATATGTAGGTGTGATTGAAAATTGGAAGATTTGCCAGTTTTACAAATCCACAGTATGTAATTATTGAAATTTTTTAAGATGTACTTATATTTTCAGTTTATAACTATCTTTAAAACTTAATAAAATTTTAATAGCTTTATTACTGCAATTTTATATTTGTAAATCGGAAAAATTCATTGCAATCTTCGAATAACTACACCTAAATAATACATAATTTTCTTGTTAAAACTTTAAATAAATATTTACTAAATTATTAAATATTTAATTTGAATTTAACAGTGTACAATGCACCCAAAACTCGAGAAAAAAAAATTGTGAAAAAAGAGATACGGACCCCATTATTTTTTAATTTTTTTTAATTTACTATAACTTGCTTATCAAATTAACATAGATTTTCATTTTTTCTTAACTGATAAATTACGTTATAGTAACTGACCTATTTAAAAGATTTTTTTTTTTATTTTTTCCCATATAACAGTAGCTATTATGATGGTACTCCAAAAACATAGTGTTGTTAAAAATATTTTGTAAACAATTTACATTGTTTACTTTTCGAAAATTTGCATACAGTAGCAACATAAAAATTGTAATTTTATTACAAGAAATGTACAGAAAAAGAAAATAAGGAGAGAAACAGTAAAAGAGAGAGAAAGAAAATAAAATCAAAGTAATAAATTGTTATTAATAATGTTGCAATAAAAAAATTACATACACAATAATAGAAAAACATTGTGTATGAGAGAAATAACAGTATTTTGAATCCCAGATAGGGGTTGACAACATTAGGATTGCATTTTTCGAGTCCGTATTTTAAAAAATATTTTCTTTAATTTTTCAATCAATTTGATACTTTGGATTCACATTTAAAGATTAAATACCGTCAATAGATTTTGTATGTTTTCATTGAAGTTTTAATGCCTTTTAGTTTTGTAATCAAAAATTGTGTTCCATAGATTTATAAACAAGCGCGAACACTTGAAATTATATGCTCACATGCAATTAAACAATCAAACAGTTTGTAATTTTTTTCAATTTTCATCGATTTGAATTAACGCAATAGTTCCGATGTTAGTAATTGCCAAAATAAAAAATGCATTTCTGCCTGAGTCCTTAATCTTTGATGAAAAAATAGAGCACAATTCCATTATCTCCAAGCAAAATTCACAAACAATATTTAGATTTATGCTTAATTCATTTAAATCAAAACTCGTCTGTTAGTACAAAACTCTGACGGCTCTTGCGATTTCTTTATCAATGAAAATTTTATGGATGATTTAATTTTACTCTTCCCAAAATTAAAATTGTCGAACCCTGAATTCTTCTGTTTATTTTGCTATTACTACCATCATCACCTCGGCACAATAATAACAATAACCATTAAAATAACAATAAACAGTAACAAATATATTTAAATGACAATCGTCTTGATTTGAAGACACGACATGAAAACAATCAGTTACGAAAATATTCACTCCGTAGCTATAGATTATTTTATTTTCGAAATTGGAATATTCAATTTTAACTTTCAAGTTAACAAAAGCAAAAAATTGTGAGAAAATAAAAATTAAAATATATACGAGTAAAAAGAATAAACCAGCTTGGCTTACTTATATTTTTTTTTTTGTGTAAAATACTTGTAATTTACAGCCCGGTTAGATATAGTTAATGTAAATAATGTAAAGTAATGAAAAATAATCTGTTTGCAAATAAAAATAATAATAATGTTGTTGATAATAAGAGTACTTAATACTGTGTACTTTTAATTTACATAGTACTTGGAAAAAAATAATATTTTTCAAAAATATTTAAATAGATATTTAGTTTAATTGTTTGGTTTAAGTTATATGGAAATTGTTATAGGTATACGTATAAGTGTCGTTTGTTTTTTTATGAAATTATAAAAAAAAAAACTTTATTTTTAATTGCATGCTGCTTACAATGATGTACATAATTGTCCCTGAAAATTGATAACGATTTACAATTTTGGCCTACAAATATTGGAATCTAATAAATTAAAAAAAAATTTACTAAAATACGTATAAAAAAATTTTAATTCCCGTTCCTTCTATAATTTTCGTTTAAGACCTTCATAAAAATGAAATTTTCGAAACTGTTTCCGTTGCAGCAATACGCCCCCTCTTAAAAGGCAATACTGTATGAAATAAATGCTTTGTACCAAGTTTTAAGTTTCTATAGTTCTTTCTGTTCTCAATTAAGCAATTTAATAGCAAAGAGATAGAATACAGATTAAGAGGGGCTCAGCAGCAGAGTGGCATGTGCCACATTCACACTATTTTGCAGTAAATGCAATTGAAAAACACGAAATTTTAAAGAGCCAGCAAAATCAGTATTACACCTGTATTGAATTAAAACCATATATTGTTATTCTCAGTTTTTTTCTTAGCTGGTTTGTTACTCTAAACTTAAAAAAATCTGTTTTTTTTTTGTGGTTACGTCACTCTGTTTCTGAGCCCCTTATATGTATTGAGTAGAAGTTTGATTCTGTGTGATTTTTTTGAGTGAGTATTAGAAACATAAGAATTGAGAGTATCAGAATAAAAAATGTATTTGCATGAGTATAAAAGCATAAGATGTCAGTACTTTTTAAATTCAGGCCCATAAAAGTTGAGTGTTTGAAGCAAATACTTGAATATTTGAGAATTTAAATTGGACTCATAAAATAATTGCTTAATTAAGAGAAAGAACGAATAAAAAAATAAACTTATTTATTATTTTTTCCAAATAAATCTTAAATATTGCAGATATTTTTTTAATAATTTTCGAATGTATTCTGAATACCGAATGTTACCACAATAGGCATGTAGGGTACATGCTATAATCAGCTAGCTAATATTCTTGAATAATTACAAATTTCTTATGAAAAGAAGTTTTAAACTACAATCCCAAGTATGTACTTGTAAGTATGAGTGCTAATTTACATATAAGCAATTTTAGAGCATTCATGATAATTGTTTTTCCACAAAATGTTATGTAATTTGTTTTAAAAAAAAAGTATTTTAAGTAAAATATTTGAAATTTTTACATAAGATTAAAATCTTTTTTTACATTTCACTTTACCGCTAAAACTTAACTTCTGCATTAGTTAGACATATTACGCGACAATTACTCTAAATTATAAATTAAACTTAATAAATGGAAAAATAAATAAAAACCAGCCCAATGGGTGTTAATAATAAAAAAAATAAAAAAAAAAAAAAACATTTTATTTTACAAATGTTTTTTCAACTTTTTCATTTAATTATGGAAATCTCAATTTTCTCACATAAACTAAATAGTAATTTTAATCATGCATTATGCATCGTGTATAACTCCATACAAAATTACATTATAGCTCTTATATGTACATTAATATTACAAACTGGATCTTAAGCCAATTGGTTATTCTAAAACCATCTCTTCCTAATATGTCTGTTTATACAATATACTGTGCTACAAAATAAGTTTTGTTCCGTAGCTTACTTAAATTGGTTAGTTGACTTGTTATTTTAAGCATAACTCTTACATAAAAAGTTAAAATATGCTATTTACTCGTACCTATACATATATCTGTTTTACATTATAAAAATATCTCACATTTTAAAATCTAGATCAAATTCAGTAGTTCACACGCGTTTTAATACCTTTATATTTTTTATTTTAAATTCATGTCTATAACCATACATACTCTAACATGTCTAATAGCATGAAAAAAGAAGCAATCTTTTCTCATGGATATCAAATTAAAAAGAATAAGAGCAAAAAAATAAGACACATTTTTTCTTCTACGATTTTATATATTTGGAACACAAGTAACAAAAGCAACAACAACAAAACATTAAATGTTACATAAATCCAAGAATATGGGGCTACATGATAAAAATGATGGATACATATAAAATATTTTAAAGAAAAATCAACTTATAGATTGCAATTGAAAACAAAAACAAGAAGAAAAAGAAAAACTGATTGAAAATTGTGAAAATGTTTTTGAAATTTTCATTTTTATACAATGGAAAATTTTGCACCCGATTAAGTAGATTATAATATTTTATTTCTTTAATTTAAAGAGAGCAAACTATTTATAGAAAATGGCGAATTACCTTTAAACTTCATTTGAATATCAAAAACAAGGTAAACATTTTTATTGAATCGATTCGAAATAAGTACAGTCGGACCTCGATAATATGAATCACCGTTTTGCAACAACTTATAAAAAAATCTTTAATTTGAGCTTTAATAAACTCGTGTTAGAAGGTTTATGTGAGAGAGAATTTGTGTTAAGAAAGGCTATGATAAAAATTAAATACAAAATATTCAGAATTGGCAAAACTACTTTATTTTACACACAATCCACTTACTGGAGTTTGCATTATAGGGATTTGCATGTATTTTAGTAAACAAATGATTTAAAATTAATATTTGAACCTAACGAAATCACGAATAATAAAAATGCATACTAGAAAACAGTAGATTCATAATATATTTCAGTGCGCAGGATCTGGTGGTCTTGGTTTTACATATTGTGAGCCCTCTATAACATGCTCAAAACCAAGTATTGTTAACCTAAACTCTGAATGATGCGGGAATTCAATAACGTATGGTAATTTTAGTCTTTCTAAATGTTTGAAATATTTTACTGTAAAATAATCGCATAGACAACGCATAATTTTGTGAATCTACTCTTGAGGGTGCATAATGAAGCTTTGTTACAAAACAATGATCTCGATTGTAAAATTATTCTCATGATAGTAAAAATTTGTTTTATCTTAATTTTTATTTTTTTCTTCTTCTGAATAAATTTCCATTTTGTATACCTACTTACATTAGAAAATCAGAAGAATGGCGTCAACAACGTTTTGATCGATCTCGGACAATTGGAAATTGTTTGCCGTTTTTTTTTTTTTATTTTACTTTTTCCTCATTTCATTGTTGAAACATATTTTGTTATTTGAAATTTACTGTGAATGTTACAAAATAATGGATAGAAAAAAAAGATACTAGGAAATCTTAAATTAACATTCAACAACGTTTTTGTAATTTTCCTCTAATTATGTCTGGAAGCACTTGGAACAATTTATTTTTCTTCATACAAAATATTTTAATTTTCTTTCTAACATAGACAATATTTTCAAAATTGTAATGCATAAAAATTATTTGTCCGAGGCACTTGTGAAGTGTTTATAACAGAGAGCTTTTTACGATGTATAGCTGTTAGCAATACGATCAACCTCCATCGACCTAGTCGACCAAGGACTAGATGGGTGGACAATATAGAAAATTACACCAGAGTTCTTAATGCCTCGAACTGAAGATCAGCGGCACAAAATAGAGACCAATGGAGACAAATTGTGAAGCAAACAAAAGCTCAACCCGAGCTGTAGAGCCACATGATGATGATAATGCATAAAAATTAGATGATTTTTCAACATAAATCAATTGTAAAAACTCAAGTTGATATTTTTAGAAAAAACAAAATTTTAAAAATTTTAAACAACTTACGGTTTTAGCCAATATTTTTGAAAAATCTTTAATAGACGTGAGACTTACCTGAAAAATAAAAAATATAAAAATTAGTAAATTTGATTAATATAAAAAACATGTACATAGGTAATAATAAAATATTTAAAATTTTTAAAAATTCTAGCTCACAGGCTAGAAATTTTAAGTTTGATATGTTGACAAGGTTATTGCGAGTTTTACTAATTTTTGTTGAAAAAATTTTATAAAATTTTTATTGTAGCTTTAATTTTAAATAACACCTAAGCTAGAGTTCTTTTATTTTGAAAATCTTTATTTGAATTTCGAGTCCGAACTCCGAACAAATATTACCATATCTAATGAGAATCAGTATCCGCTGACTATTTGTCATGTAAAACGAGGAATTGATAAGTAAAGTTTTTGTTGGAATGCCATAGTGCTTAGACATAATAACTATCTCTTCTAAAATTCTATGCAAACAATCAAATTTGGTACAAATCGCCGGAGCATTTCACGTGCCTAACAATTAATTAATTCAGTTTTAATTTTCTTAATGGATCTTCAACAATGTGCTGGGCTCTGAAAATTTTATGCTGACATATTTGAATTATCATAAATTCGTTTGCTTTAATGTCATATTTAAAAATTTGTAACAATTTTTCTTATTTAAAATATTACAGACATTAAAGTTTCGGCAAATTAAAATAAATTTTCCTTTCATTTTTTACGATTTAGTATACCTTTACAACTACTATTTGTGTGCATTATCCCATGATCTCTCCCCATCCGTATAATTTTTTATTGTACTCATGAAAATTTGTAATATTATAAAAGGAATGACCTGGCGATTTCATCTATTATCATATTTCTTTATGTTCTTGTTATACTGCCATGGCCATCAATGAATATGGATTTTTTTTTATTCTGTACCAACATTGAGAGGGAAGAAGATATTAAGGAAAACATTTTTTTTTTAAATCTTTTAGAATTCTACAATTCTAGGAAAACATTTATACTCTTTAGGTTCATTTATAAACCGACATACATACGTATGCATACAAATATTTTTTTCTGAAATAAATTACAAGTTTGTGTAATTCAAAAAATTGTGAACAAAAAAAATCTTCACACTTTTCATATCTTTTAACCTTAATGTTCTTCGTTTCTCTTGAAGTGCAATTGCATTGAAAATAAAAATCAGAAAAATTTATTAATGGAAAATTTTTTTTTTGTTTTTTGTATTTTTGTAATGAATCGAATCCTTATTGCTTTGTGACGGCAAAGATATTAAAAAGCGTCTTATATACAATAAAAAATTATTATAAAATTTTTCAATGGACAAAATATTTTTAAAGGATATTGTTAATGGTATAAGTGCATATAAACTCGCAAATATAGTAAAATTGAACTGAAATAGCAATATTAAAAGAAGAATTGCCGTCGATAGTAATTGAGTTCGAGAAAATGATTGATTTTTTTTTATTATTGCTTTTTGTTCAATCCGCTTAAGGTTGAAATAGTTGAAGATCAAAGAAGAGAAGAAAATATTGAAATATAACCTTTATAAATGACATCGGAATAACATTCACCGTTTCTATATTATAGTTTATGCCTAAAATGCAACATAACAAAATAACCATTACTATGTCTGCGATCACTTGCAAATTTGTATTAAAATTAACAAACCCAAATACAATTTATATTATGCATATACAATTTAAGCCCATGAAATTTTAATTATTTTTTTCGTACTCCACTTTAGTGCTCATGAAATCCTATTCAAAGTTCCGATATCTAATTTTTTTTTGGATGTTGGCAGTACCATTTTCTACAATAAAATTTTACTAATAAATTCACCGTCCATACCGAAATAGACGATAATTCAGTAAAGCAGATATGAGCCGAAAAAAAAAATCAAAATTTCAGCAGGCATAAAAATGAAATTTGCCCTGCCGTAAAACAGCGCAATCTGTTTGAAATACACCTGTGCGATACATTCAAGAAACATGGCTCCAGCCTAAAGTATATCAAACACATCACTCCTATTTACTTCACTTAAGATTCTATTCTTACATGACTCAGAAGTAAATAATTAAATTTTATAGTATTTAAGACTTTTTTCAATCCCAAATGTTTCCGATCCTTTAAAAAAAAAAAAAAAAAATCAATTTAAAAAAGGTTAGAGTATTTCTGATGTGTTTGCATCATTTATCATCAATATTCATGTAAGTATATATATACATACAAGTACCTGCATTTTTTTTGTATATAAGTGTGTGCGAGTATTTATTTTTAATGTAAACACATTAAAGGAGCAAAAGGAGTTCCACCTTCTTAGTTTAAAAAAAAAAAATTATTTTTATAGTTTTTATTTTTTTTTCTTTTATATTTTTTTTTTATTATTGTTAAGATCCAAACACAAAAAAAAATAAGGATGACGGCAATGATGAAAGTGTATACATAAAATAGATTAAATAATTGTAATGTCATGGTGAGAATATCCATAAGAGACTTTTATACACAAATCCATATATATATATATACATAAATATACACATAATTATTAACAAAAACAAAAATACACATAGTCATATATTTTTACTTTTAATACATCCTTAGAGTAAAAACAAAATAAAAAACAAAAGGAAAAGATAAGAAGAAAATTTTTGAGTAATAAATATGGTCAGGGTCACATATACAACTCAATTTTCTTAAAATAAGGAATTTCGTATATGTATATGAATGAAAAAAATAAAAAGAGAGAAAAAAAAACTAAATTATTTACGCATCCAAAGAACTTAACTGATATTCTCTTAAGATATTTTGTGTCTTCTTTATTATTAATACTCCAATATACATAGAAAAAAAAAATAATTATAATAAAAACAAATTAAGGCAACAAATTTTCACATAATTTGTATAGAAGAAAAAAAAATTTAATACATAACAATAACATTTCTTACCCTATAGGGGTTAATTACTTAAGTAAATTACTTCATAAATTACACGCAAAAACAAAAATGTCTTCTTAAATTTTTATGTCTTTCTTTTTGTGTTTTTGTTTCTTTTTTTATTTCATTAAATATTGTCCTTGTTGTTGTGGTATCCAGCATGATTAATTCATTTGGTATTCCAAAAATATGATGTGAGAGAAGAAAATGAACTATAATGAAAAGGTCCTGCATTAAGGTTGTCTATCTTCTGTCTTATTGTACAGATATGAATACAAGAGGGGACCAATATATTATATACATATAGGTAATTACTTCTCTTAAGTCTTTAATAAAAAAAACAAACTCAAATGGCGACAAGTTCAATTAAATATAGCCGCTGAATACATAATTGTGTAGAAATATGGGGTATACGTCTAGGAAATAATTCGTATATAGTGAATATTTTATTGATAAAATTGTTATATGAAAGAATAAAGAATACTTTCTAGATTAAAAACAAAAAAATTTTCAAAAATTTGGTTTCAAGAATTTTTATGGAAGCAATTTTAAAAATATTAATTGGATTGCAGGATTATTGTCTATATGATTAAAATGAAATATCATATATGCGCAAATTGGTGGCGGCGAAAAATTTTGTGCATTTGTTTGGCTCTGGTTGTCAGGAAACACAAATGATTTCCTGGCAACTTTTCACATAAGCCTTTTCGAAATTTAGGATCTCATATACAATTTAGAGACATGTAACGACTATAGGATAATAATGTTGGGTATTGGAAAATTACAATAATATAGGGTGTTTTTGGTGTTCTGAAAAAAAAATATTATATTAACAAAATATTAACATTGATTTAAGTTACTATAGTTGACAAATACGCTAGTAACATTCACATTTTAAAAATGCATAAGGAAAATCTTAATTAGAATGTTTGTTTCATATGTAAATTCATATTTCAAACATTAAGGCGAGTGGAATACAATAATTTTAAGAGGAACTATTCAAATATTTTAGTGTTCGTGCAATAAAAGGTGAATTAAATGTTTTATATTTTCAAAATGAAATCAATAAGTTCAGAACCCCATTGAATTAGCCATTTCTTACTTGATTCTCGAATTAATTTAATAAAACAATATGTGCTTTTTCTATTAATAAAGCCCATTTACTATATTGGAATGAAGTTGAAACAGAAATTTTCAAATTTACTGATAAATTTATTTAAAAAAAGATAAAATCATTGATGCAATAAGGTCCGAATTTGCACCCTATTTACAAATTTTTCCAAAACTAAAGTTTCCGTATGTACTTTTTTAAATTAAAGCAATTTTGCTTTCATTAAAATTTTTAAAAATAATTTACAAAATTTGCAAAACACAATCCTATATTCTTAATTCTCACAAATTTCAAAATTAAGGTAAAACACAAAAAAAAAAATTCAAGGAATTTGAGCTAGAAGAAAATTGTTTCGTGATCAAAACACAAAGAAAAAAAATTTTTTTCTCATCAATCACCTTCTTTTCCTTCTTTTATCCTTTTTATTTAAATTTCGTACTTAGTTCAATTTTTCATTAAATTTTTATTGCGATTACCATTAAATCACTCGAATTCAAGGGAATTTTCAAATTAATTCTTGATAAATTTTATCTTTTAATTCCTTTGAACTTGTTGTTGTTTAAGTTTAAAGAGATTACCGTACGTACAATAGAAATTTAGCAAAAATAAGCAAAAACCAAACCCCTCACTTACTTTAAAAAGGCAATAAAAAGAAATTTTTGTTTTCCGAATCAATTGAAGGAATCATTGGCTAATTTTAATCCAATTTAGTTTACCAGTTCTCGTTTTATTTTTTTGTTCTCCTATTCTCTTCTTCCAATTAACTACCAAAAATAAAAAGGCGAAAATAATAAAAAAAAAGAATAAGTGGCACGAAAATGTAAACTTTACTAAAAACATGCCAAAATCAGTTTTGTACTCAATTAAACTCTTGTCAAATTTTTGATGGAGAATGCGATTTTTTTTTTCATTTTTCTTACAATTTTTTTGTTTATTGTGTTTACTTATGATTTTAACTTCTTTAGCATTTTTCCAAATAATGTCTTGAAAAAAGTGCTTATTAGTTT